ATATAAAATAAAGACTTTATTAATGTACAAGTATGGCAGAACACCATCGCATAGTCTCGGCATAAGTTATTAAAACATATTCTGATAAAGCGATACTTTTTATATTACTTTGAAGAGCTAATGCGTATGGTCCTCATGTCCTAACATCAAATTATTACACAAGTGGTACGTACTTATAGGAGACATATTTTCATAAAAATTTGATTGCCCACATAAATGTTATAAGTCTTGCTGTATAATATCATAGTTTTATTTTATACCATAATAATATATGTATATTTGCATATTTTTTTGTATTAAATACAGTTAAATCAATTTAACATTTTGATATTAAGAGTATGCACGATCTTAGATTTTTAACAATATTCGTTGCGTTTGTAACATACAAAAATAGTAGTTAATAATCTAAGTAATCCCGAAGTTTGCTTGAACTTATATACGTTTGATTTTATTATTAAAAATACTTAAAAAGATAATTTACTGAAACCGGTACCATTATTATATCCACGCTTAACATTTATATACATTGTTTTAGTTATACATACAAACAGTTAGTCAATCAGCTACAATAATTTGTGGATATTATTGCTTAAAGTCACGTTGATATTATAGATGTCTATAAGAAAACTAGACATATCAGAAATCCGGAATCAAAGACTTTACACATTTTCCATATTCCACATACATATTTACATGAATATTTGTACGATAACGAAAAAACAGAAGAATTATAACAAAACAAATACTAATTAATACATTGAAATTTGGATAAAACATACATATTTATAAATATTTATTTGTTTTGCTTCTATAGGAGCAGTAATATGAAACATGTTTACATATAACTTTGTTACAGTTGTAAACTTAATTCAAGCTGTGTGTCTTGTTTATACAAATTCTAGGTATTTTATATAAAGGTACCCTTCGGCTAAGTACAATAATAGGTTATGTTTTGAATAATTAAATAATCGTTTTTATCTATATCTTAAATTAAAATAAATGTAGACGGATGTAATATCAAGCGATGATCGTACATCGCTTATTTCAGCACATATATTAAACATAATAATAATAAATTAAATACACTCTTTATAAAAAATCTAATAATACGCATTTCAGTAAAAGCAAAAAGATTACGAAATATAGACTTAGACGGGACTAGGGCTCGTATCAGACCGCTCCAAATCTGTGCATTGCAGGGAGACGTCTGAATGCCTTTTTTGTGATGTGTTTGATGTGTCTCAAAATACCATGTATTTACTTAAAAAGCTTGTTATTTCAAACAGATGCGGACAACTAAGTATATAATATTATATTAATATACTCGTAACTGCATTTTATATTTCTGTAAAATTATGCTTTCTTTGTACTGAACACGTTAAGTATTATTTTACTATTATGACTTTGGTGTTGAGTGTATACAATATTGAGCAAAATTTTGGCTAAATAAATTAATAGGTACGTAAACTATGTACACATTGCTTATAAAAATAAAATTGTCTTTATCTAAAATAATTAAAAATACATTTCTTATCTATTTAGAAAAAAGTAGAGCTATTTTATATATTATTATATATACATAAATCTAATAGCTTCGAAATAAATTGAGATCTGCAAAATAAATAACCAAGCAGGGTCATTTAGCACCACTTGGCGTTGGGAGTGGTAGAATTCAGTTACTTTTAACAAAATTGGTGGTTTTAACACTTAACTATCCCATCGGATTTTGAAGGTAAATTGTAAGTTATTTTCGTTATGCCAATGATATAAGATTCGAAACATTTGTGAGATAATAGTTATAAGATCAAGTTGATTTTTCGGCAAATCTACATTAATAATATCCTTAAAATTACATAAAATTTCAAGAATGATAACAGGTTAAACAATAAAAAAAAAGAATGGCGTAATTTGGTAAATCCTTTGATTTTTCAGATGTTCAATTATTAGTGCCAGCAAAATTAAGTTACCTACTTGTAGGCAATACAATTTTATTGTACTTAAAATAATTAACATTATGACTTCAACTTAATAATCACTAAAAACTAATTACATATATCTAAATTGCAATTATATCTAGATTCTTACAATATGGCAGTTGTCAAATCGCTAGCTGAGTTGTCGCCTTACTCTAAAGTGATAATTTGGTGTGATGAGCGCGGAGTTTCGTTTGCGTCAAATTAAAGTTCTGATAGCATTGCTAGCAACGACATATACATGATGTATCACAACCATTATTGCAATGATTAATATTTAAAGATTGGTATATATGTATTTGGTAATATAATATTGCAGGTACATTTCGTTCGATAAAATATATGTAAACCCAAGGAGTTGCAACATGTTAGTTGTAAGTACGTCCGGTTTAAAAAAGGGCCGAATAAATCCAAGTAATGGCAAGAAATGAAAACAAAACGCTCCTGTCCGATACTAATATTAGTTCATGGGAACTGGATCTGATGTTAGATGGGTTTATTTTGGTTTTAGTGTTCGCAATTTTTGACATTACATCGGACGGACATAATATACCACATTATTTAATGTTATACTACATCGTCTGTATTAGAGTTAGAACAAATAATTTATTAAAAGCTTTAAAACAAGGCAAAGGGAGAAGTAATGCAATTTAATTTTTGTTTTGTCCTCTATTTAAATGAGTTTATTAATCATATGATAGCGGTTTATAAATAAGATATTTAATATAAATATGTTCAAATACGGGTTTCCATTAAATTTTATGATAAGCACCAAAGCTGGAGGTCTCTGAGAGACAACCAGCTAGATGAGATATAGAAACAATTTCACAATGAACTCATATTCCTACAAAATTGGCACAGACAAGTCTTAATTCTGGCAATGATGATTCCTTGTTTACATGTAGATAATAATTTTTTTCTGTTGTAACGAAGCTGCAATTGGGCTTAGAAATACCGCGCTATTTGTATTATGAGAAAAATAGATATTTATACTATAAAATCTGTTCTAATTAAGAGCATTTTAGTGATATAGTACAAAATTTCAGTTTAACGATCACATTAAGTAACAGTAAATACAGCAATATCACTTTAATTTATGTACATATCCGAAAATTGCTTAATTTTTTTTAGAATATATTAAATATAATTTTCAATATAATTATCTATTTACAAATATAAACATATAATAATACTTAACAAATAATATTGCATCTCGCAATCGCTCTTACCCTTTCATTTTTTTCTGCTTATATCACAATTTTTGTCTTCGAAATTGTAGCTCTGTGAAAATTCTAACTTAACTCGATATGAGAAAGTTCTCAGGGCGGTTATTTAGACTATCCGTCCTTTTGGATATCAAGCTTCTGTTCCTCGATGGTGTAATTGCTTACAGTTGGTATATATACATACATTTAACTTATAATACAGCATTGTATAGTTTATCACAACTTCTTGTTCAATTTTTCTGTAGTTGCATATAATGGCAATAATTGCAGCATACGCTTTAGCAATCCCGTAATAAAACGATGGTTTTCATTCCAAACCTTTACCTTATAAATGTCGTCATAGCCTTGGCTCCTCCCTCGTAGCGTCGATAAGATTACACTCGTTTATCGCATCGCCGGCAGCGGACGACGCAATGAGGTGCGCACGCGCAACCGAGCGGGCTGAGTATTGTCTTCTTGTTCTGATAAGACCAACAATGTATACGATACAGATATGTTCATAAAATTTAAGTCTAATTTGTGTAGTCTTTTAGTCGAATCTGAGATAACTTACTGAACTAAGTTTAAGTATATAACTATATGTTTTTATTAATTATTATCTATTAATTCAGTCAAAACATATAATTAGTGATAAATATCACTGAAGTTATTGCGACTGGAATGCTTTTCCATCTAGTCGACTTTGTAAGGGCGCATGGCTGCGCGGTGAGGACGAGAGCAGTATGAAAATATTGGTTAACGAGTTTACGGTGGCGGATCGTTAGTCCATCCCAGCTGCAAGCTGTAGGTACTCAATAAAGCACAGTTGAAGACGTGGACGGATTCACTGACTTCATTCACTATACGATTCACATTTACGAAGACTCCATTAAATTATTATTGCTTATTATTTACTGTATTGAATATTAAGAATATAATACGTTTTTAAAAATATTGCGTCGTTTATGATTACGTACTGTTACGGTCATTTTATCATATATGAATGATATTATTTTTTTACTAATTGGAGAAAGTGTTCGCGATTCAAATAATTAAAATAATTTTTGACTCTTGAAACTATACAAATTTAAAGCTGCCTCTTGTAAGGACTTGATAAACATAACGAAATAAATACATATGATATTCATAAAATCTTATATGCACAGAATGGTTATTGGTTAGTGTTCGCCCTTTTAGTGTGAATGGCTGTAAGACCAATATTATAGTAATTTTCTCGTTTCCAGATCTATGTTGTTTGAAACTAACGCTAATATAGTAATAAATAGTAAGGATCTTACAAGGGCTCTACTATTCTTTAAAGTTACATGTACGAAGTAAATGCGTACGTAAGATATTTCCAATGTTTTCATACTGCTTTGCATAATTTCAGTCTAATCTTAAATCTAGTCTTCTTAATACTAATATTCACAGTCTCCAACCGAGTGCGACACATAGTAATCGTATGCGCGTCACAGTAAAGGCAAATCTACCGCGCTACAAAAATACGTGGGCAATGTCCATTTCGCAGTCAAAATACGAGCCACATTCATAGAGAAAAAATATGTCTCCCTTAAACTTTACATCTATTCAATATATTTATAATATATTTACTCCGTATAAGCTTATATTAAATAATAACTCATTCATATATTTCTTGTCTTATCCTAAACTCATCACATCTTCCCGAGGGAATCTTATCGCTCTCACGGAATACTCAACGTAAGCGTCCGAGGCAACGAATTTCACATTCGATGGCAGTATCGAGAACTGTTCACTTAGTGTTTGCAGCACGTATGGAAGCGTGCGAACGGCGCATGGGCTAATCACCAAAACGTGTACACGCTTTTTTCCATTTGCATTGAGTACACCAGAGGTCACGTTGGTCCATGCCGTAAACCTTGCGACACTTCTTGTTGTCCGAGCGAGGACGCCTGCCGGGGCTGCCTGGCGAGCTGCTTACTCCGGAGATCTTTAGGTGCTTCTGAAATATTTATATATGTTATTTATTTAATGCTATCAAAAATACCCAAACTTATCTATATATAATTTTATTGTGACGTCGAATTTTGTCTCTTTATAATAACTCAATTTAATATGAAAAATTCAAACTTACCGGTGAGCTTGAGCTTGACCAGGAAGGTGTTACGGGAATGCTAATGGGTCTCGCTGATCCATTTTGTAATGTTGACAGTAGACCTTGCCTGAAATTGAAGTGGATGGGTTAACAGAAATTATTTGCTTAGTTTATTCACTGTAATGTAGACAAATTAGCTCTACTTTAGGTGATTTTTGTTATATTGGATTACGATTTTTATCCAACCATGTTACTATACATATGCGCAAATTTGATCTTCTGGTTCTCTTTTCATATTAGATAATAACAATTCAATTGCTGAGGTAAAAGACACAAATGTTCTTCATTGCACACCACAAATGTTCATAACATTAAGGAAAAATAATATAACTGTGTGCTTATCGCTAATTGAGCAATCCATTCCAGTAATTCTAGACTCAATTAAAAGAGATTTTACAAAAGAGAAAAAAAGTATAAAGTATAGAAAATATTTTAGGTACCTGAAGGAACCGACGAGCTGTCGCTGGTAGTCAGGATCTTCGTGCGGTGGACGGCACATGTCTCGGTGGGATAGGGTGGGTGGTGGCGCAGGTGCAGCCACTTCATTGTAGTAAAACTCTTCCTCGTGATCGCTTTCGTCCTCATTCTTTGGCCTAAAACGAAAATGGTCATTGCTAATCTTTTTTTTGAATAATTGAGACTTATATATATATATATATATATATATATATATATATATATATATATATATATATATATATATATATATATAGATTAATTGATTTGTACCCCACTTCGACAAATTGATTTGAAAAGATATATTTATTTTATCAATTATCTTCTATACAAATAATAAAATTGTAACCGATTCGAATCTACATTAAATATTTATTGGGAAATTTTATTGAAATAGTCAATATTATCGATACAGAGGCCAAATCTATAGTTCTTTTTTAATTTTTGTCTGTCTAGGAACGGATGACGAGAAAACCACTAGACAGATTTTGATGAAATTTGGTATAATGATAGCTGGTTATCCGGGTCAACAGATAGGATACTTTTTACTGTGGGAATATATCTCATCAATAGACATCTATACCAACCATTCAAAAGTAGCTAGAGACGAACCCGAGCGGATCGAGGGTGAATCGCTAGTTCATAAAATATAGCAAGAAGATGAAACTAATGTATTATCTATTTTTAATTAAATGTAAAGCAATTGTCTAAATTATCGACTATACACGGTCAAAAGAAAAAATATATAGTACGTAGGTTAATCTATACTAATATTATAAAGAGGTAAAGTTTGTGAGTTTGTGAGGTTGTAGGGGATAATCTCTGAATCTACTGAACCGATTAAGATGAAATTTGGTAAGAAGATAGTTTGAGACCCTGGGAAGGATATAGGATAGGTACTTTTTATCCCAGAAAACATTACTTAAGTGCGTGAAAATGGGGATGTAAGTTTATATGGGGAAGCAAGCTAGAGACGAACCCGAGCGAAGCGAGGGTGAGTCGCTAGTAAAATATATATTTTTTTTATAAATGCTCCTTTGGTTTGCTTTGATAACAATATTTAATTTAAACTAATTCTTATGGCTGTTATCGATATTAAAAGAGTAGCAGAATAGAGTTATGTAAGATCGCGCAGTGACCTTGTGTGTAACGTGCTGGAGCTTAGTAGCGGACAACCTTGTCATGAAACCTCGCTGCTTCCGGGTCAGAAGGGCTAGCTTTTTAATCAACGTTTAATATAACAATTTATAGCATATCACACTCAACCTTTGAACATGAAAATCGAACAATTCATTGCTACACATATTATTTGTTAACATTTTCTAATTTGTTACATTAAAAAAATCCGGAACACATTTAAATTTTTTGTATGAAAATACATATTTGTTTGCTAAATGCAGATGATGTAAATTATTCTATGATGACTAACTTATAACCTTGATTTTATACAGGAAATTACAACTTACTATATGAGAATAAGATTTGTCAGGTGTTGTATAATAATGTTCATTTAAATGGAAGTATAGAAACTTGTTACATTTGTATTAGTGATGTCATGTGAATTGCAGTTGGCAACTGCGAGCGTAAGCATGTACAGTAGGTATTATCTATTATACTTATGAAAATGAAGATTAAAGTTCAAGATTATTATCGTAATTACCAAGAAATTAACTGCAAGATTATGTAAATTCATACCCTAAATGTGTTTGTCTGATGTGTGCCTCGATGGAAGAACGCGTAGTGGTGTAGTGGCCGCAACCTCTCCATGAGCATTTAAAGACGACACTGTTTAACTGAAACAATCGATATTTATATTTAATTTTATTGTACCTATACACTGATAAAGTATTAAAATTTATAACAACATGATAAGTCTTATGCTTTCTAATGTTTCTTAAGATAATATTCAATACCACAAGAATCATAAAGTTAAATTGAGCTACGAAGTATCGCACGGAAACGACTCTAGGTCGCGGCCTTGTCGATGTCGCAACGCCTCACTCCCTCGCGCCTCGTGCAGTGCTGGCGGCCGCCTTCCGTTGCCAGTTGCCACACCCGCCTGCCGCCCGACCGCCTCGTATCCAACCATGCACATGAATTCTTTACAAGTCTCTTACACACACTCAAATTTGTTCACAGATGCCTTAACTCATACGTCTCACATTATGATAGTGCGTGGCATGAATGATGAGATGCTTTAATAAGTGTCCCTTAGACCTTCTTCAGACATTGACATTGATTTTATATACATTGACATTATAAATGTTCAATGTCATACAGTCTCCGGTATGATTTAGCTAAACCTTGAACGCCAAAATATGACATAGAATATTAAAGTACAAATTAACTAGTGTAACGAAGTAACTGTGATGGGGTATGTGGAAACACTATTTATTGATAGCGGGCAAGGTGAGTGTAGATTAGTGTGCTATGCCAAAGATTTTACTACGACCTTCAATTCAATGTTACTTTATGATCGATTAAATGAGGCTTGTTGCAACCAAGGAACAGTTTCGTTCTTTGCATTTTGTAACAATACATCGATTCGACATAGAAGCAAACAATTTATGCAATGAATTCGAACGAAAAAATCATTTATACGTTATGTTACTGCATGAAACATAAGAAAATCATTTGATAACAGTAAAGATAAATATATTGTTCCATTATCGATATTCCACTGAGCTGTTGTATCAGGGACATGAAATTGGGGGGCACGGGAGACGCACGGAGAAGCGCAATCGCTCCACGCCTAGGAACTGAAGCTATATCAAATGCATGCAGAACTAGGTCAGGTCAGAGAGGCGAGAGGGGGCGTGGAATTGCCATCTAGGTCGCAGTACCACGGCCAAGGGTGGCTTATGAAGGTTGCTACTTCTTTGTTTCAGTTTTGTGTAGCTACCAAGTTAAGAGATAATATTAAAATCTACATCTAGCGTTATGTCAGTACCTAAAACCTAAAGCGACACTGAAAAAATTAGCAAATCAAAACAGGAATTGGAAATATAAAACAGCAAACCTACAATTAACATTTTAATTACCAGTATATAGGCCGTGGCCGCGGTCGGAAGGTATATGAATCACAAGCGTGTCAGCCGATGATAAATCGTGTGTGTTGAAACTGAACAATATCATTGAGCGCCTAAGACAAAGGATGTTGCTATCGAAATGAATTGCAAATTGTTGAAACAATAAAATTTTCGATTTATGCACAGTTTTCTCGTATCGGATATATGTATTTTAAATTTTTCTTTTTTTTTCTTTATTGGCTTATAGTTGCGTTAACAGACGCAATCCATTCTGCCATTGTCACGTTTTGTGAGGAAGACACTAATGATATTGAGCAGTAATTTTGAAATTTTGAAATTTTTCTTATGTATTTTAATTTTTAATCGGACATTTTACTTGGTGTTTCATTGACAGACTAAAAATAACTTGAAAAATTTACTTCATATCGTAATTATATTGGTATCAATTGCCGTAAATATCGTTTCGTTTAATTTTAATCAATATTAATAAACTATATTATTACTTAAGCCTTGCGAATGTAAATGTCAAACGAAATGCAGTTTACCTTCTCAGTAAGGTTCATACTGTAAATCCTCCAGGCAATACTACCAATTTTAATTATAATGTTACTTTATAAAATACTTTATTTATGCCCTATTTAGAGATTTTTCTTAATAATCTTAAATGTGTTTAGTTTTATATCGAAAATTCATTAAAATTGTCTACAGCTTTAACAAAATTTTAAGCATAGACTAATATTTCAGCCGAATGATTCACCTTTCCTCGCAAATAGAGGGTGGGAGCGCCGAGGGCCCTTCCCTCGCTGCACCATTGACCTAGTTTGGGCCCTCAATAGTACAGCCAATAAAAACTAGGTTCCGCAAACCAAGTTTATTAAACAATTTTACGCCTTAATATATTTTTAGAATAGCAACATAATCGTATCCTTTTACTGCCTCTATTAGAATTTGATCAGCATTTTTACATAGAAAAATTTGTTAAACCAGTCTAATCCAATAATTATTAATGTTTGTTATCATAATAAGTCGTAGGGTTAATTTTCTCCTCCAACTTTTTAAGCATCGTCGCCAATCTACTTCTGCAACCTGCAGTCAACACTTATAAATACTTTTATCTCATAATGGCGGTCCCCGACTAGCGCAATAGTGTGCTGTTCGTACGCTTACACGTGCCAGATCGTTTGAGTGTGTGCAACAGAGTGCAGTTGGATGTAGCACAGGAGCTATAATACGTTTATTTAGTGACAATATAGTGCATGTGGCAATTGGCCGAGATGCAAACACAAGGCAACTCAGACTGTCGTTTTATCTTGTAATTAGAACGTTTAAATAGGTTAAGTAATTTTGTTTATATTATAAAATGAAATTATAATCAAATATTTGTTTTGAGTTGTATTTAGATGTTTTCTATCATGTCACCTATTTAGTTATATAATCATTAATCAATTTTGCTATATTTACAGTGTCAAGTGAAAAAAATGTGTGTAGAGCGAGACCACTAGCTTCACGTGTAACAGGGGGGTTGAAACATCAAAACGGGGCTTAGAGGGTGGTTAGTAACAAAACTCGCAATGATATGTATATTGCAAGATTTTATTAAAAAAATTTAGCAAATCGTATATTTATAACCAATATTACTACTAAATCTGCATGATTTTAGTTTACTTTATGGCCATTAGGAAGTGTTAAGAATTGTCAAGGTTCTCGAATATATAACCGTATTTACATAACGTGTAATTAAGCACATATGTAGCCGAGAAAATTTAACAACGGGATCTTCCATCAACAAAGTGATTGCGTTCTAGAACATAGATAAACATGTGACACTTGGTTAAAATACAACTGTACCATTCGGCATCAAGGTTTATTCTCGTGGTTAGCTCGCGACTAACGCGATCCGGCATTAAATGCCGGTTTGTTGTTGCGCCGTCTCTTTCTTCGGCGAAACGAGATGACTTATTGATTTGTTTTCATTGCATCTCTTTTTAGCTCACTGATGCACATAAGCCTGTTTCGCTTAAATGACCTTCTCCTTATATACTTCAATGCAACGCAGCTAGATAAGTTGTTTTGGTGGCATCCTACTCTAACTGTTCAAAGAATGAGGAAGATGCATGCACTGCATGGTGTGCCTCAACGCGATGTTTGATGTGCGTCTTTGTATGCGACAATCTACATTCACCACTGGAAACTTTAATTATGCAACTCGTGAGGGAACAATCATAACCATAACTGTTTACTTTAATAATCTTTTTCTATCGCTTATCTTATACATAGTTTATTTTAACACACTAATATATTATACTATAAGTACAATTTCATTTGGTTATATGCTTATACGTAAATAGTAATTAAAAAGTTTATGATAATAAAAGCTAAAGAACTCGTGTACGAAGTTTAGTCACGTTTCACGTGGCCGTAAGTTGAAAACACTCTTTGTCAACGAATCACGCATTTTAAATGTTTACAAACAAACTTTTTATGCATAGATTAGTTTCAAATAAGAACAATAAAGTTTCCTACTATGGCAATTAAAAACTATGATCGGATGTATAGTTTAAACTTTAAAGAATAATTCAAAATTATTAAGGATAAATTCAAAACATGAACGCATTTTTTTGTTCAACGGAAAGAGACAGAGTTATACCTGGGCGAGAAGTTAACGTCGAATGCCTCGCAATGCACCCCATGATGACAAGGAGGCTACGAGCGTTAGAGGTCACTGAACCGAGCTACATACCATAACCACCCCCTGGCTAGCATTTTGTTGCCATTTGTTGCACTTTTTATTACTTATGTTTGAATAGTTCATCATCCTGTGTTTACATTTTCCTAATATTTAAAAGTTATTAAAGAGCCATACGAATTAGCAGCAATACATTTACTAATTAATAATTATTATTAATTCTGCAATATGTTCGTATCATAAAAAAATATTTCGAAATATTCCGATAGAATTCTCATCTAATATATTGTAGTTCTACAGGTGGCAATGCGTTGAACTCGGGGCCAAAACATTCCCCGCACTCTTCACATCCCAACAAACCCTCACTTGTTTTTCACTTATACGAACACACATCAACCTTATTATATAAAAAAGACTGGGCAAGAAACCTAATGCGTACATTTGCCTCGTGTCCTTCTGAGAAGTAATATAGTTAGTTTTTGCTATGTACCTACATTTACATACGTTGCGATTTTTTATGTAATCTGCGTGTTAAGATTTATTATGATTTATGATTGATGATAAATATTAAACTTGTATAATACTGTGGATTATGTTAAAGCTGTGAACTGAAAATAATAATAAATAATTAAGGAACAAATAAATCTAGAATAATTAGTTATTTTTGCAATGTGCTGCTTATGCTTAATCTATATAGGTACTATACGATATTATAATACAATTATAAATAATTCCTAACCTTCTAAACGAAGTTGTTTAAAAAATACATGAATCGGAATCACTTTACAAGGATAATCATAAACTGGTCTAGTCTATTAATAAAGAAAAAAATGCCATGTAAGGAACACAAAACTTTTGTTTTGTTTCGTTGTTCAAAAATCATAACAAAAGACTGTATAAATATGAGTCAGAGGTCCTGGCGTCGGTTGGGTAAGGTGGTGAGGACTAAGTACTGATGAATCAGCTAGTGGGGCATCCGCCAATCGTTGTAGAGACGCCTTGCTGGTCACCGACCTCGACTGGTTCTAACTTGTTACAATTTCACTTTTTCTTCAGACATACACACACAGAACCGCTTCCAACATCTATGCTATATCCAATCACAATTATCTTGAAATAAAGTGTGGTTGAAATCGCTAATGACGACGTTTAATCTGGCTTGGAGTGAACAATTAGGTATTTTGCAACTGACGCGGTGAGATTTGGCAGAACATCAAGCGTGTAAAACTACGCAATTTATTTAACATGTTTAATTCGTGGAATTCGATGTTACAGATTTGATGTCGCATAAAGTTTATTTGACTTGTAAAATGGGAAGTTTGTTGAACCCGCGGGACTACTCATTATCGCGTCTGATGAACTCGCCGCGCTATTGTTCCCGTCCGCGCCGGTGATACTCAGCGGCCGCGCCGACCACCACCGTATAAAGGTACGGGCAGCTAGCAGTTACGCATTCACTAAATATTGTTTTCTAATGCAATAATTACTACATTACCCTACACGGTTGCTAATAAAGTTATGTTCATGTGTCATTCATTTTATGTACTTAAGTTACAAAGTTAGCTATTAAAACTTATTTATAATTAGTGTAATGCTTAGATATATATTTTTTTTAGCGTAACCCTAATTTTTTTTAAATAAAAGTAACCTAAGTTACTTCTTACAACAGCTATCTGACCAATGAAAGTTCTGTCACAATCAGTCCAGCCATTTCGGATATTAGCCGGAAATACAGACAAATAAATAATTTTAAAAAATTTATTATATAAGTATTTTTCTTTTAAGTACCGTATAAAATTCAAATGCATTTCATAAAAAGCTGTCATTTTGAAATTACAAACAGACACTTCAATTTTATTTATCTGTATAGATATCACATTAATTCATTTTCGAGTCGTAATGACGCATTACATCTTATTTTTTCCTTTGGATCAGATTCATTGTCCCCTAATTGTAATGGAGAACGATCTGGTACCGTGACGTGACGTCATTGTAACAGTATTTTACGTAGGTCTAATCCCCATCTGAAGAGTTATATGAATCTGAATCAGTTGAAGTGAGAAGCGAGTGATCCTTCGAGATGTAAACATTTGAACTGTCAAGAACGGGCAGTGCCCCGGCAACGGTGTCAATGCCCCACCGATGCCGGTTAAAAAACGTATTGACTCCACCTATTCGCCGGCAGCCCGCCACTGCTACACTGCGCCGCCTCGAGACGTACATTAATGTCAAGAAAAATAGAGGCGCCAATCTAATTTTGCTTTGTTACATTTCGCTAGAATACATCTTATAAATATATATTTACGAAAGCGAAATAGAAACAGATTTACTATATGCTACTGTAATGATATGAAAAATTAGTAAATAAAATCCTATGCAATTATTAGACGTTCCATTGTACTGTGTCAACTCACATGTATATGAGATAAGTATTGCATTATATACGTTCACATAAAATCTACATATAATATCACAAAATTTTGATCAGCGTGAAAAGCATTAATTATTTAATTACCCCCAATGTCGTGTGACACGCAAGTTAAAAACTTCCTTTGCCCTTATTTATTGTGCAAGCCGGCATAAATAATTGTTTAACGTGATCAATGACCATATAGTAAATGTGACCAAAATTTCAGATTCTCTTTTTATCGACCGCTGGTCAATGCCTTTGAGCTCGATGTTTTTGACCGTACCAAGGTCGTCAGGATGGGGTGTGTGAACTTAACGCCCACACACATAACGCCATGTGCTTAAATTTATATGGAAATTTGGTAAATGCACATCGAAGGTACGTAATTCGTATACCACGAAAACGATAATGTATCATGCTACCGATATGCACAGGGTTATTAGAACGAGGGAGTCGTGTGGTGTAGGGCGATGACCCGAAGAGCGAGATAGAAAGACAACAAAACTGAAGTTCGCGCGAACTAGCGAGCGACACCATCTTTCGACTTATAACCACTAATCAGAAAAATATAACACAGACCAGTCCTTTAATACCCAACTGTATTAATATTTAATATCATACGTATGTATTAACAATAAAATAATGATCCTATAACACCTGAATATAAATATCATATTTAAATTAGATGCCTAATTTATGTACTGTAAAGCCGCGCTGGCACAAAGGACATCGCAGACATCGATGCCTAATGCAATCGCTGTATCTAGGTCGCCCGTATGGATGTAACCTATATTTGCTATTGCACAACGCGATCCCACAGTACTTGAATAAGCTATTACAGGCCGTACTAGTTGTCCATTCGATCAATAATTATTATCGAACAAGTTAGCTTACTCTTATATATGAGAGTTCAATACTTTCTTATTTAGTCCATTTCTTATACTTTACATCATGCTAAAATATATTAAGGTGATTGTCTTATAAATTGACATTAATTTATATTTAATTATATGAAATAAGGTATGTAATTTTAGTGATATGCAAATTGCTCTATCGGGTAACAATTTAAATTCCAGTTTTTTATAATGTCGCGCGTCAAGTGTGTGCGACCTACAAAACTGACCCGCTTTGATATCGTGAGTTTCGCGTACCATTATATCAAATTGAATAATTCTACACGTTTAATTTTTTGTTAATTTAAATATGATATAAACAAAACTAAAATATTCAGACAGACAGACGGACAAACAGACAGATAGACAAAAATTCTAAAAACCATAGATTCGGCCTCTGTATCGGTAATAATGTTTATTTCAATAAGATTTTCCAAAAAATATTTAATGTACAGATTCGGCTTAGTTACAATTTTATTATATGTATTTATATCTAATTTATTATTGGTAAATAATCCCTCCACAACCGCGGACACGCCGGCGTTACAGTTAACAATAGATTTCTTAGAAAAATTAGTTTTTTAGAAATTTAATTAATTTCTTAGAAATTTACCTGAAGGTGTTTAGTTATTTTTATAAGTTAGTAATAATTGTTTTTGTAATCTATGAGTGTCACAAAATATAACGTTCAACGACACGTATTATTCAACGTAACTGGTATCATAACCTCACAGGTCTTTGTTGTTTAAATACTATGGTTGAAAAAGACTCGCCATGAAGAGAATATTATGTCTCTACTAATAGGTATATATGTATTTATGGTATAGGAACTAGGGTTACATGTCGTGATTTTATAGAAGTACCTATGTATAGTAAGAATATACATTTAAATAAGGAACTTGTTCAGTGCCGAATGTCTATAGATTCTTTCAGAATTCCTGTGACAAGTTTATAGAAATATATTTTATTAATATATTTAAAACATTTTTTACGTATTATTTGCAATATTTATAAATTCGTGTAACATTTTGTTAGCAATTGGTAATATGACGGTTGACACTGCGATTACAGATGGAGGCCAAAACGCAAAACACGCTGATTTCTCATGTGCGTAATTGAGGGCGTATGTATGCGTACGAACACCGTAATCGCGCCCGCGCCGCACAGCGACCCGTATCGCGTTTGCCATTTACACTCTTAACTGTTTACTGAGCGGGGAATGATCAGCGAGCTTCTAGTACCGCAATGTCTTCCGTGTTTTAAATATAGACCGCGAAGGCCGTGGCTTTATTCGCTCGTGTTGAAACGACGCTAGCAACACGACGCAATATTATATGAACCTTGAAATTAAGCTTCGCAGTGTCAGAAAAACACATTTTTTGTCTAAATACTGATTGTAACGGAGTTTTTCAATCGTGACGAAATTTTATAAGTGGTTAGGCTCACCACAGATTAGATGCGCATCACAGTCATATACATAACTCTTGTAAATCAAAAAAAAACCTTTTATTTTTATAATTTGGATTACTAAATTGACTTTCTGCCATTTATTTAGTCACGTTATGTCTATACGAATTCCATTGTAACCAAATATTTGTAAGTTTAAGAAATCTTTAGGTGTAGATGACACGAATGTTTAACACAATTCACGTGATTGTAACTCGCAACAGCCGAACGCCCTTGCTTTCCAAAGCAGATTTTCTTATCTGAGTTTATCAAGAATTTAGATATGTTGTGGATGGTGGAGTTGATACAGCATGCTTTATTCTTTTATATAATACATATTGCAAATTTATAGTTTTATATATAGTTCTTACTTCTTACATTCATTTATCTCTACTCTAGATTTTATAAGAATATGGGAATGGATTATAAAATTTAATAAGCTAGAAAAGGGATAATCAACGCGTATTACGACGAAAAAATAAAGAAAACTGTTCAATTGTGGCTCATAATACTTCTATGTCAATATCTCATTAACATCTGTCGTTCACAAGACAGAATAAGACTACCTGTGATACATAAAATATAAATATAATATATTCCTAGAAGCCGTGTTTGACTTTGAAAAATCTTTACTAAGCAGTTTTATTCTAATTATCTTTACGAGGTCCAGGAAGTAATTTGCGTCTCTCGCGATAAAATTAGCTTACTTTATCAACGCACAATGATAATGCGACCTTCGATAAACACGAATATTGACGACATTGACGTCTTCTAAGACGTTATAATCTAACTATACCTACTTATATTCTGTTTTAAATTGAATGTTCTCTATATTTATTGTTATTTTAATCTATAATTATTATGGACTGTTTCTATTTTATATATGTAAGCATTTAAGTAAAGGTATGCGTTGATTGCAGAAAAGGAGATGTCGATAGGCGCACCTAAGTTAGCTTCCTAGTATCTTTATGGATGTGGTTTGGAACCATATTTAATTTATATTCTGAAAAAAAATATAGGTATAGATATAAGCATACATTAAGGGTATAGATGACTATTAGTACCTATAATACTTAGCGAATATATTGTTACTTGTAAACTTGATATGCACATTTCACACAAGTAACATTTGCTTTCTTCAATGTTACCAACAGCTCTTTTACTTTATTTCCTTATCGATCGCTGAAAGGCTTAATACTTCCTTATGAATTTAATATATTAGCAAGATAAATTTGTTTGCGAATGCATGGCGTTTAAAATTGAAGGTAGATATTATCTATTATTGGACATAGATACACGTAATAAAATGATATCGACATACGTATGTTTGACACATTACAGCTCAAGATAAAAATGTAATTGTATTTATTTTAGATAGCCTTTAAAAAAAAAAGAATTACTACATTTAGTACTGAGTTCTTGAGTGTTTGAGAATAACTAAATATGGGCGCAGATTATGCAATGCACGAGAAGGGGCTTGTGCGCGTGCGCTGATGCAATGCGCTTGCTATTGTTATAATAGCAGCGACGTCAGCACGCCAGGGGCGGAGTTACCGCTGCCCGTGTTATCTACATAGCTTGCCTTCCACGTGCCTGCTATATGTCATAGTAACTAAACAAATGGATGCAATTAAATGAAATGAAGTTGTCCGTCGACTCTAGCGTAGGAAGTTTAGTAATGTTAGTGTTTTAATAAAGAGCTATAAGATTTACGGCAATACAACAACTAATTGTACTATAATGTCTACTTATACAAGCCGCAATATTTCGTCAACAATTTGTTCTGCGAAAGGATAATGAAACGGCAAGCGAAGGCGTTTCATGTCACGACCGAACGATGGTTTCATTGCAGTGACTTTTTGGGATATAAAGTTTACAAAGATTAGCTGTCATTTTACAGGTTGCTTTACTGTTAACTTTTTTTTCTTTATTCTATAAATATATTATATATTGTGAAAGTTAATCTGTTCAGATCAAAAACAATAAATAGCTGCATTATTATAAGCTGTGTTCTTAAAAAAAATAATCAACCAATAACAATATTCTAAACTGTATATGTTTAGAAAGGTACGTATAAACAAACGATAATAAAATGCATAGTCAAAATCTGTCTCTAGCTATTGTACATTGGCTACCTACTATTTATTTCCATAAAATACCTAACATCTAAAATGGTAAAATCAATATTATCGAAATTTTATGAATTTATTTTATTATAATAATTAATTTGAATTAGAAACTGATGAAAAATACAACAGATAAACTATTTAGCTTCATGTTTTAATGCAACAGAAAGCTTACAAGGCCTTGCTTGGTTATAATAGCTATGTCCTTAGCCAAGGTCTGCCAGCTGGCGTCACTCCTACACTCGTTAGCAAGAGATTTTTGCATCTATTCATATAACATGACAATATTTTTCATTACATGTTCGTCATATTGTCGAAAGTAATAATCCCTATTTTAATTATATATAT